ATGTGGAGGTACTGTCATATCATGGCGCTCCACAAAGCAATCAATTGTTGCTACTTCTTCAAATCATGCTGAGATAATAGCTATTTATGAAGCAAGTAGGGAATGCGTATGGTTGATATCAGTGATTCATTTTATTCAAGAAAAATGTGGTTTGGAGTGTGATAAAAGATTCACAATTTTATACGAAGACAATGCTGCATGCATAGCCCAATCGAAGGGAGAATTTAATAAAGGAGATAGAACGAAACACATTTCACCAAAATTATTCTACACACATGATGTGCAGCAAATCCGTTCAAGTGACAATCCGGCAGATTTATTCACTAAATCTTTGCCAACTTCAACTTTTGAGAAGATGGTATATAAGATTGGAATGCGGAGACTCAAATATTTGAAACAAGGTTTTCATCAGGGAGAGTAAAATACGCGATGTACTCTTTTTTTCTTTACTAAGATTTTTTCCCACATGGTTTTCCTTATAAGTTTTTAATGAGGCAACTAGAAATGTGTATTACTAAATATGTATACTCTTTTTCCTTCACTAGGATTTTTTCCACTGGGTTTTTCCTAGTAAGGTTTTAATGAGGCACAATACCTTTTAATGAACATCCAAGGGGGAGTGTTATGAAAATAATTATATTGTGGATGTTCATTTATTACTCCGCTATAGATAATCTTCCTGAAGAAGATTATCCATTTAGTACTCTGTTGAAGTTTATCTACAAGCAGCTGATGCAGGCAGGTTGCAAGCAGCTCAATGAAATGATTTGCAGCAGCTTCTTATTAAACAGGCAAGTTGCAAGCAACTCATGCAGACAGCTTACAAGCAGTTAAAGAAAAGCCTTGTAGCTGCTTCGTGAAAAGCCTCGCAGCCGCTACATTTCTTCTATAAATAGAGGAGTTTTCAGTTCATTATGTACATAAGTTTGAAGTTTGAATAATATATCAGTTTCTCTCTATATTTGTCTTTACTTTACAGTTTTTATTTTATAACAATACAAATTTTTATTTATCTAGTTACAATTATTTAAGAAAGTGTAAAATATTAATGTCAATTAAGACCGAAACTTAGAAAAATTGGCACTCGTGGCCCGAACTCTTTTGTTCTCTTTAAAACGAATTTTCTGAATAAGTTGTTTGGAAAAGATAGTATAAAGAGAAGTTTTCAGATTTTTTCATTTATGAGCTTTTGTGTGAGAGAGGAAAGACATTCTTAAACAATAAAATTGAAACAAACATGGCTGATGAAATTTTTTGCAAGAATATAAAACATTTAGCACCAATAATGAAACGAAATTTTTGACTTTCAGCAAAATCCAATAACTGAATAAAGGGCTAGGGAAAAGATGTTCACACCTTGACTTACCCCTCAAAAGATTCAAACCTTATTATCTTTCACTTAAAGAAGCAACAAATACAACTGAATCCTGCGGAACCAATTCTAAGTTGACATTTTACACCTTACGGGTCGTTTGGTAGGGTGTATAAGAATAGTGCGGAATAAGATGTATTAGACTATTAGTAATGCATGGGTTAGTAATGCAAGCATTAGTTATGAAGATATTATTTCTTATCTAATGTTTGGTGTGGTGTATTAAAATTATAATGCATTGCATAATTTTTAAGAAAAATAGTTGTTTACAAAAATGCCCTCCATATTCTCAAGCTTTAAGGGACTTTAAGGATAATTTTGTTTTTAACTAACATAATGCAAGCATTAGTAGCCTTGGTATTACTAATGCCATGGTTTTCTATGCATTATTTATACATAGGATAATACCAAGTATGATGTATTAGTTATACACAGGTTAAAAAAATGTACCAAACAAGAAATTAGTAATGCATAGAGCTAATGCTTACATTATTTTTTCTAATACCTCCTACCAAACCATTCCTTAGAGTTCACCACTGCAGATCAGAAATTAAGCAAACAGGCGCTGCAAAAGAATCGAGATCTTTGTTCTGTTTCCTTACAAGTTACAATCCTACTTCTATCTTTATGGATGTAACATAAGATTTCACCAAATAAATACAACTTATACACATGCAACTTAATGGTACAACCGTGACCAAGGTCACACACCTCCTCCCTTTCCCCAATTGAGGGGAAAATCGGAATAATGACCTACTGATACTATGCTTACAACATATCTTGCGAGAAAAGAATGCCAAAACCAAAATCAATGTAATTCATGTCTCACTGCATCTTTCTACTCTGTTTGTAAAGGATCCTCAAGCTGTGCTTCTGCACATTCCTCTCAGTATTCTCCATGTTCAGAGCTACCTTTTTTTGTCCGAGAGCATACTTTTGTGCGCACAAAACTCTTCCAATTAAGTCAAAGGCCAGAGTCCTGGAGAATAAGCAGTCTACATTCCTCACTGCAGCCTCTGCAAAGCAATTTCCAGTTGACATGGTGCTAATCCATGTACCTCATCTCAGATTTGACACATCACATATTTGATACCAACCTTAGATATTTTCTCACCATCCAATAGTTAAATGAGGCAACTCCGGAGGGTCACTGCTTATAAGGTTTGCCCACAGATTTGCAAGTGTGAGGAAGTAATGCTCTCCATTCCAGTCGATAAGTTTCAACCCTGTTTCATTGCAAGGGTAAAAGAATGTAAAGTGAAATTAGCAGACTTGCGAGAATAATACCCAATGTGTGAAGGTTGATTCCCGAGAAATTATAACAGAACCAAGCAGTTCAATGAGTTTTACTATATTCTTATTCTACCACACCAATCATAGTAACAAAAGAACAATTAAGAACAAAGTTATTGCACAAGTTTCAGCCTAGGACTACACCTAATTTTTTTTTAACATTCCTTTTTTAAGTTTCAATATCTTGTTATGTATCTTCAACAATAGGAACCATTACATTGTCATGACTCTGTGGCTCCTGCTACTAACAATGGCTTTGTCACAAGAACGGTAAGAAGTGCAATAATAATTCACACTGAAAATCATGATCTTTTAGAATTAATATACCTGGTAATACTTCCAAAGTTAGAAGCGACAGCCTACACACTTCTTTCTGAGCATAGAGATGTTTTTGAAGGGTAAGTGCATCAAGACTATGAATTAACTTGATAGAGTCAAGCAATGAAGCAACAGAACTCCCATCTCCAGAAGAAGCAGAGTCTAACATACTCGACACAGCTTCTCCAAGACCCAAAGAGGACCACATAGTGTGACATTCATCTAGCATAGAATGAATACTTGTACACTGAGCAGAATTCGACCAAATCCAAGGTTTGCAAAGTTTCACAGATGCTTCAAGCACTACAGTAACCCTATAGATCTCACCCAGGGCCCGGACGAATGCCCTTCCTGCATTTATCATATTAAATGAGAAACTGGAACAGCGAAATGGAATCTTTCCTACAAAACAATTCCATGGAATTCCCTATTATGGGCCAACAAACTTTTCATTAAGCCATTTTTTTGTGGGCCATGCACCAATAAGATACAGATAATGTACCTCGAGGGAGAGATAACATATGACTCTGAGCATTCATTTCCAATATCTTCTTCCAGATACAGGAGCCATGTTGCAACTCTTGGGCACAAACAGAGATCATTTTATACCATACTGAAACATAAATTGATTGCTCCTCCAAAGATCCTGATCTCAAAATCTTTAGCATCATTGTAGCATGTCTTACAAGATCCACTGTTGTTTCCAAATCATTCTCCACCTATTTACCAGAAAATGACATGTAAGTATAGCAAATCAAAGCTTGTTTCTTCTTTCTTTCTTGTGTTTCATGATAACAAATGAATAAACAAGCACAACATCGAAAAGGATGACCAAGTACATGGGATTTTATACGAAGCATTTTTCTTTGATGAGTGGATTTGTTAGAAAATATTCAGTATTGGTTTGAAATTCAAACCCAAAAAGCCGTACATTGACATTATTGCCTTGATTAGGCCTGGGCGTCAAGCTAAGCGTTGTTACAATGCAATGCCCAAGCTCAAAACAACACTTTTTCTCTGATGACGACAAAAGGGACTTACCCAACTTTGATTAAATTGAGACAAGTTTGTGATATCTCAGTAAACGTTGTTAATTTATTCAAAAATCAAGAAGTCTAGTTCAATAGAATTACAAATTTGGATACTAAGTAGTTCAGAAACTTGCTGAATATATTGAGAAAACTTAAAGAGTCTTTTTTTCCAAAATGGAAAAAACTTTAATATTCTATTAGTAAACAACATCATAATTACTTAATTGATAAGTAAATTAGGAATTAAATCTAAGAATATAGCAGTTAAGAAGTTTCCTAAGCATTAGGAAATGGAGAAAATGACATACCAATGATAGTCTCCTTGATAATTGGTAGTCTGATTCAAGTATTTGAAATTCTGGTTCCTGCAAAATCTCAATAAATGCACTCATACAAGCATTCTGATGTAAATGTCCTTCCATATGGCCATCCTTGCACATAGCATTATCCAGGTCAATATCCTTGCAAGCCTCCTATAGAATGAAATATATTACATATAGCATTAAACACTGAGAAAGAACATTTTGCACATCGTATTGAGGAAATAAAAGAAAAAGGGCAAATTCACACCTTATTATTAGATTTTTTTTGTCTCAAAACTATTAGAAACAGAGAGCACTGAAACCTAGTGAATCAAGGAGGCATATGAAAACATGAGATGGTGGTGAAAACGATTCCCAAAGAACCTTAACCTAAAATAATTTATTGGAAACCAAACAGCTCTCAGTATCCAGTTCCCATCCTTGAGTTCCCCGAATTGAGCAGCACCTATTTTTAGAAGATTCCTATCACCAGATCTAGCAGACCTAATTGAAAAGCACCTGTTTTCAAATTTCAACTCCTTGAGGACAAAAGTGTGGATCTCAATAAAGCACAGAATGAAGAAAAAGAACTCAAAGAGGGACAGAAGTTTGGAGACCAAAACGCTCTTTATATCGGATGTCATGTTTACACTTTGGCTCATGGTAAACCACTGTCCGCTTCCCAAAATGGAATACTAGGCTCTATTATATTAGACCCATGCCAGAATATGGCAATGAGATTTAAGCAGCATGAACAATCAACGTGACAGTTCAAAGTTGTCAGAACAAAGTAGTCTCAGCTAAGCTAAATGGAAAGGCAACTACTAATAGTTTGATAAAGTATGAACCCAACTCGCATACATAAGCAAGTGCACCCACCCGGCAGGGGTTGTATATGTCAGTTCCACTAGAAGTTTCCATTAAATCTCAGAAATACACTGTGCATTGCATACAAATTCTAGGTTTCATCAAAGGAAACTTCCTCCTTTTATACATAGGAAGTTCCATGACATAGTAACGTTCTACATTTTCCCGAAACCTAGTTAGATCCTCGGGTATCGGTAGCAGGAATTCAACATTTCTCAAAAGTTGGTAATCTCACAAGTTGGAAGGGAACAGAAAAGAGGATATTGTTCATGAGCAAATGTCCGTAATATTCAGTAATATATGACATAGATAGAAGAGCACAAACCTCAATTTCCTTATTAAGCGTTGAAATTTTTGCTTCCTCTACTGGAAGTCCATCAATGCTTTGAGCTCTCTGGAAGAATATAATATAAACAAGTCAATGCACCAGTACATAAATTCAGCTAGTTCTCTGTATGTGGAACTACTGACGACAATTCAAAATATAAAGAGCAACCACACAGACCTTAAGCTCATCGAGATGGCGTTTAGCATGATAGCACAACTCCTTCCTTAATTTAGAGTACAAATCCAAATAATTATCCAGATTGAGTTTGGAAAAGCTTCTCTTTGGTGGATCATCAGAAGTAAGAAGAGAAGTATCGTTATCTGTTCTCATTTGAGAAGAGCCATCCTTAAACTCCCATTCACCATCATCCAAGTCATCCTCACCATTCACCAGATTTGAATTTGAGACTAAATCTTGTGGATTGTCACTGATGCTATTTGGTACTTGAACAGAGTGAGCAGGTGAGATTTGTTCAGCTTGGCTATATAAATTTGAAATGAGATCATTAATGGAAATGTTTGAATCTGGACTTCTATCATTCTTCGAATAAGAAGCATTATGGGGGACAAAAATATCTTCAATATTAGATGAACCATCAATCTCCTGCTCTTCATCACCAAATATTGATAGGGGAAGAGCCCCTTTATGATTCTCTAACTTTAACTCCTTCACCTGGATAATATTCAAGAATAGGTAAGGAAGGGCTGGAAATAAGTTGCCTATACACTATACTTACCTAAGTTCAAAATGTAAAAAAGAAAAGCTCTACCAATCTTGGTAGATGATGCAGTTCTCAACTCTAAACGTGGCAATTTAAGAGAATAAAGAGGCTGAATATAGTAGTTACTTTACATGTATTTCATTTAATCAAATGTTCCTACCTATAAAAACAGACCAAAAACCTACAAAAAAATTTCTATAAAGAAAGAGAAGAACAGTCCAACCATTACACACACACACACGTCCCTAATCATGCCAAGAGTAAACTTAGAGATTTATTATTAATGTATAAAAGGAAACATCGTTGTTGGAAAGAGCACAAAAGAATAGAAAGCTCCAAATGGCCAAATATATCTGGAGAAGGCATACTCTGCAGAAATCAAGCATAGATGGAACAAGGGAAGAAGAATTTTGCAAGAGACACATGCAGGCGCCATGGTTGTAGGAATGAAAAAGACAAGTGACGAAGATTGGAACTTCGTATCAAACTTTTAGCACCTTGCTTATACATTTACTGTAAAACAGAGATACCATGTATTGATAGGGGCAAAGCATTCACCATGACCAAAATGCTACGTAGAAGGTACAAACTGTAGCAAAGTTCAATTGTTAAGCTAGGTTGAAAAGAAAAAAATGAGAAGAGGATGCAAATGGAATAAACTAAATGCTGAACGAACAGTTATCTTTAACAAAGTCCAAAAATGTTTAGCAAACAAAAAAAGAAAAACAAGGGAGCAGAGCCAAAAGAAACGAGTAAATACTAAACACAGACTCTCTTCAACAAAGTCCAGATTGCTAACTGAACTTAACAAAATATAACAACAACAACAACAACAACCCAGTATAATCCCACTAGTGGGGTCTGGGAGGGTAGTGTGTACGCAGACCTTACCCCTGCCATGAGATAGAGAGACTGTTTCCAATAGACCCTCGGCATCCTTCCCTCCAAGAACTCCCCACCTTGCTCTTGGGGTGACTCGAACTCACAACCTCTTGGTTGGAAGTGAAGGTTGCTTACCATCAGAGCAACCCCTCTTGTCTCGAACTTAACAAAATATATGAAAATAAAAGGAGAAAAAAAAAGGAAGAGGCAATTAATCTTTTCCCCAGCAAAAAAAAAATAGAAATTTCTTAACCAAAAGGAGTGCCATTAAGTCAACAATTGACCTGGTCTTTATCATCACATTCAGAAGCTTGGAGTTCATAATGAGTAACATCATTAACCTTCCATTCTTCCTGCACAAAAAGATAAAAAGAAGAATGGCCTATAAGGGGAAAAACTCCAATAGTGGTATACAATAACAAAAATATCAAAATAAAATTACCTCTGGTTTCAATCCAGAATCTGAAAATGCCGTCGTAAAGTCCCCAAAATCCTCATCGGTTTCAGCACTCCCAACAACTGGATGAGGGTCCAGTGAATCATTACTCTCTTTTTGTTCACCTCTACCATCTGATGCTGAAATGTAAACATTTTTAGATGCAATAGATGGTTCAATATCAAATCCAAATATATTGTCAGGGTGAACAGAAGAAATCCCATTACATGTTGCAAATAGATCAATTGGTTCATTTGGCGTGGAAAATAAATCGATCGAACCATTTAGACTATTGCCAAATCCAGAGGAATATGCCTTCATGTCACCAGCGTGATGTGCCTTAGAATCAGCTGTTACCGATCCGTTAGATGTTGCAAACAAGTCGACTGAGCCATTCAAGCCATTATGAAAAGCGAAAGAGGATGCATTAGTTTGCTGCAATTCTTTCGCCTCTGAGGTAGCCTTCACACAGAAAGAACAAGATTAGTGAACCATAAACACCCTCATGCCTACAAACTAGTAAATAAGAACAAAAATGTAACCAATCAAGAAATCAATCAACTATTCCTCAATCTTAAACAAGCTGGAGTCACTATATGAATCCTCTATGTTCATTCTACTAAATTCAGGCACATTTCATCCCAATATTGAATAATTTGCCGTTTAGGGTAAATTAGGAGTTCACTTTCCCTGATACAACCTCTAACCAGAGAAAAAAGAACTCATGACAAACACCAGACTTAGTGTTAATAAATAAATAAAAGTAACCAAAATAACAAAATTGCACGAACATGTGAATGGACAAAATAAATTACCCAAAAATACCACTAGAACAAAGATGAATTATATATTTTTATTTCACTTTTGGTTTAAAGAAGGCTTCTTAGATGATGTATTTTCTATTTTAGACAACCTAGTATCCTTATAATGATCTACTACAAGACTATTTTTGCTCTCTGTCTGTAATGGTTTTACTACTATAAGCACTCCCTTTGTGCTAGTGATTTATAATATTATTACCTTACTCAAAAATATGTGAGTCTAAAACAGTGCAGAGAAGGTTTTTACACTAGTGCACAACATAACTATTATCGATGGGAGAAATGTCAGGCTTTACCTTATTGTTACCATCTTTGACGGTTGACATTGAGTAAGCATCCTTGAACTCCCATCCATCATCATCATCATCGTTGTCATCATTGTTGTTGTGAGCATCATTCAAATTTTCACTTGAGCCAACAGCATTGAAGTTTGAATTCAACCCACTAATATCCGGACTAGCTGTAGAAATCGACCTCCCAGCATCGGATCCAAATCCACCAAAATCGAAGTCCCATCCACTTAAAGTTGAACTTGGTGCATTTACAGAAGAACTATAACCATTTGAATTGGGAACCAGCACCCCACTTTCAGTCTTAATCTGCTGACTCTGATGATCATTCAAATTTGTGAGACCATCCAGACTCAAAGTTCTATTCAAACCATTCTGATTGGATTTGGACACATGGAAAACCGGATTCCACACACCAAAACTAGAACTTGTGAAATTTGCTGATGAACTCGATGCATTCGACTCGAAATCAAACCCAGTGCTTTTGGTCTTGATCTGCAGACACTGATCATTCAAGCTTGTTACAGCATCTACACTCAAAGTTCTGTCCAATCCATTCTGATTAGATTTGGACAAATCAAAGTCCGGATTCAACATAGAAAAATTTGAATTTGATACATTTGTACTTCCTGTCTTGATCTGTTGAACCTCTTCATTCAAGCTAGCCAGGTAGTTCAAGCTCTGCACTCTACTAACACAAGGAGAACCCGAATTTGGATCGAAACCCGACCCATTCAACTGGAAAGCGGAATCTTTGGAATTCGACTTAACACTATTCAAACCTACCAATTTATTGGAATTTGAAAGAGACCCATTTTGTGATTTCAAGTTGTGATCTTGGTTGTATAAGTTTGAAATAACTGAATCAAATCCATAACCCAAATTGGAATTAGAACCGTTATTTCTTACTTTAGTATTGGTATTCTCTTCAGCAGGCTTTTGTTTCTCTTTATCCACGTCATCATCTTCTGCTTCTGCTTCGCCGAATAATGAAAGTGGAAGAGCACCACAAGGTTTTACCCACCCAGATTCAGAAACGGAAGGACTATTACCAAAAGGGTCGAAGGGTTTAGATTGGGTGAGGGAGGATGCAGTGGAAGGTTCAGATCCGCTAGGGTGTTCGACGAAATCACCCCATTCATCGTCTTCAGCGGAGGGGTCGATTGATTTGGGTGGTAGGGTGAATTGGGTGTTGAGGGAATTCGTAGATGCGAAGGTGAAATCGCCGAAGCTGTCATCGTCGTCTTCCGCCATAGTTGTCGCGGCGGGCGGTGGTGCACGGCGGTTTTGTGTCACCTTGTTCCCCCCGACTGTACGAGGCTGTTATATTCCATTTTGCGGTCTCAACCGCCCACCTCCGACTAGTTTTAATTCCCCAGTTCTTATAGAATTAGTAATTAGTAATATATCAACACCCAAACTACTTTGATCACGTGTTAAACTCCTTCCTACTTATTATGAATTGAATTTGGACGTAGTTACACAATTTGAAATTACAAACTAATCGTAACTCTTAATTTTTTTTTTTATTGTCCTTTTTTAAATATATTAAGTACTGTGAATTTAAAACCGTTTCTCTTCTTTTCTTATCCTCCTTTTTTAACCTTTCAATATATTGTTCATGGTGTGCTTCCATATATTGTGTAGTTGTCACACATTAAAATTTATTTTTTATATTTACTAGTTAATTATTAGTATAAATATTTGTTATAAAAAGTACTTTCTAAGCTCATATTTAACCTTTTATATGTTCATATAAGTTGGTTAAAAAATTAAACTCGTTAATAAAATTTTGATTAATTAGCTTAAGTAACAATATTATTTATTTATAAGATATCACTTATTTTTATGATATTATTTACTAATTTATAATTATTTAATTTATATTGATGGGAAAATATTTATTTTAAATACCTCTTAGTTAATTCATTTTTTATATTTATTATTTACATATATATTTGTCATGTAGTAAAATTTATTCATATGTTAAACTGATTTCTTTATTTAACTATATAATTATACTTGTCCAATCAAATATGACAGTGAAAATTATACTGTAATTACGTTGTGGCAAACAAACATGTCATAGTATTGTATAATTATGAGAGTGTGTAATTGTTACCCTAGTAATTACATTGTCAGGTAATCATACATGGCTTTCCAAATAGATCATTAGTCTAAAATTAATACTCCTATTTAAAAGAACTTTGAATTTCACTTTTTACATATACTATCACATTTGTGACATAAATTATTTTATTAAAGTAAAATAAAATTTTCAATTTCAATTATGTTCAAACATAAAATTTATGAAATAGACTAAAAAGAATATCATGTAATATAAAATAAAACAAACGGAGTATTCCTCCGATCCTTAAAACTAGTAATCCTACTTAAAAAGAACTATAAACTTACTCTTAAATATACCATCATATTTGACGAGGAGATTTGAACTCCTTGAAAACCTGTGCGGCATACTGAAGCTTGATTACTTTGGTTAGGGTTGGGTATCGGTCGGTTCGGTTCGGTTAGATATATCGGTTATCGGTTTTAAAATATGGCAAACCGATAATCGAACCGATAAGATATCGGTTATCGGGTATCGGTTAGTCGGTTATCGATCCTTATCGGTTTGGTTATCGGTTTACCCGATAAGAATAAAAAATATCCAAAAATTTCATATTTTATTATAGAAATCGTAATCATACTGTTAAGAGAAAGGAACTGAATTTTTGCTCTTAAGAAAAGAGGGATTAAATTTCAACTTTAGAAAAAGAAAACTTTTTTTTGCATTTGAAGATCCTAATGAATGATCTAAATTTTCAAAGTTATAAGTTAGTGGGAGTTAGGAATAAGATATTCAGCAATCTAATCTTACTAACTATCTCACTACGGGTGGGCATAATTCACACGAAAATAATAAAATCCTAATATTATAAATACTAAAGAATCAGTGCAACAAAAGAAACATATAGAAAAACTAAAAATCTGATCGAACAACTTTAAAGTTTAGAACTAAAAATCTTAATTGAAGAATTAATATGAGAAATTCAGAAAAGTTTAAAACTTACTCTAAGGATTAAGGTCTGAAGATCAAGAGTAACTGCTAAGAGATATTGAGAGAATGAAGTCATAAGGTGGCTTTATATACTTGGCGTATTCAGAATTTGATGGTTACGGTTACGGGTGTCACTATATTTATTGTAAACTTATCACTAGTGGAGGAGGTTAAATAGGGTGTACATTTGGTCGGTTCGCTCTGTTTAATTCGGTTCAGTTCAACCCATTTTAAATTAATTCAGTTCGCTTTATAAGATTTTTGGTGCCTAAATAAATACGTGATAATCAAATAAAGAATATTGAGTCATATATTTGAAATCAAGGAAAAAATAACAGTAGAAGGATAAAAATAATAATTAAAGTTATATTCAAATAAAAATTTTGAGATGTAAAAAAATAAACATAAGCAAAATCAAATTTTATAATTTAAATAAATAATAAAAAATAGGGTTTTATAAAGAGAGTAAATACAAAGATGAAGAAAATAAGAAAAAGAGGATGGAAAAGGGAACAAGCAGAGGAAAAGTAATATTGAATTGCATTGAGGAAAAATATTTGGTCATTTATTTAAAATCAAGGAAAAAATAACATTAAATGGATTACAATAATAATTAAGTCATATTAAAATAAAAATTTGAGATGTAGAAAATGAAAACAGAAGCAAATTTAATTTTATAAGTTAAACAAAATAAGAAAATGGGATTGTATAAAGAGAGAAAATACAAAGATGAAGAAATTAAGAGAAATTACGAAAAAGAGAGTAAAAGAAAATAGAATGGAGAAAAGGAACAAGCGGAGGAAAAGTTAAATTTAATTGCATTGAGAAAAGCTAGTATCGATCTCTAGGGCCTTGCATCTGGTAAGGTAGACCATGGCACCTACAGTCTTAAGGTAGACCCGCGCGAAATACTAGTGCATACATGTAATTCTATCGAGCGACTGGGTGTCATAGGAGTGTCAATGGATATTTAAAAATCGATTAAACCAACTAAATTGTATCGTAATGAACCGATTTTTAGGTTTCATTTAATAAAACCGTATGTTTTTATCTAAATTCATAACCGTGCCGATAATTAGGATAGGTAAATCAAAAAAATATAAAACCGTACCGAATAAATTTACAATGTGAAAAATATATTTATATATTAAGTTTAAAAATAATAAAGCATTGGTTTTTTTTTTGGGCCTTGAAATTATGAAATAATTATAAGCCAACAACTAATTAAACTCAAAATCGTAATTCCCAAACCTATTATGCTACTCTTATTGAAACTAAATTATTTTCAGCATATTCACTAGCAAGACACAAGGTATTGTAGCGATTATGAGTAGCAAACTACAATGTATTGAATATGTTTCCTTTCTTATCATTTAATTTTTTTTTGAATATTTAATCTTCTATAAACTTTATTCTCGAGTGCCAGCTTGGTTAATATTTTTTCACTCGTGTAATTTATATTTTCATTGTATTTGCTTAGTTTCTTTTACGTTGTTGTAAAATAGTTGATGGATCTATACACTAGCCATCTTTCATGTTTTCTTAATTCATCATCTTTTAAACTGTAAAAAATGTCTAGAGAGCTTTGCTAAGTCCTATAAAAGTACGTATGTTATTGCATTCTACTTCTACAAGTGACTTTTACATGACATTCAAAAAAATTACCGAAAATTAACTGAACCGTACCGATACCGAAGAGAAACCGACATGATTGGGCCGGTTTCAAAAAGTCTAATTTTGGTTATACATAATAGAATAATCGAAAAATTCGTATGGTATAAATTTTCTAAAATAACCGGCCGAACTGAACCATTGACACCCCTAGGGTGGCATACCACCCCCTTTCCCCTACATAGATCTGCCCTTGGCTATTGGTTAAACCGTTAATGAAAGTGGGCAAACTGAGACCCTAACCGATAACCCAATAGTCAAACAACATTAAACAATTATCGAACTATTTACCAATAACCCGATATCGATAACCCAATAGCATTTTATCGAGTTGGGCTATCGGTTATACCCGATATATGACCAGCCCTAACTTTGGTAGCCATTCGTGGAAAACTGAGAAGGTGTTTGGAGTGGCTTTTAAAAAGTAACTTATAAGCTAAAAAGCCAAAAGCCATAAGTTTGTAATACCCAACTTTTGACCTTTGGCTTATTTTTGTACTTTTCAAGACTTAAAGTGTCACGACCCAAAATCCCAACATGTCGTGATGGCGCCTATCTCTATACTAGGCAAGCCGATAATCTCAATAAACCACAATTTCTCTTAAGTTTGAAAATATAATATTTAAATACAATACAAAATCTCATAAATACTGATATGGACACTCCCCAAAATCTGGTGTCACTGAGTACATGAGCATCTAATATGGATACAAGTCAAAAGAAAATGGTCTATAATAGTCTAAGACCAAATACAATAAAGAAGGAGATAGGGAAGGAAAGACAAGGTCTGCAAAACACGAGAGCTACCTCTGAATCTCCAAAAAATCAACTGTGCGAGAAAAACAAAAACCGCTATGTCCAGAAGCACGTGGATCTGCACACGAAGTACAAGGTGTAGTATGAGTACAACCAACTCAGCAAGTAATAGTAATAAATAAGGAATTGAAGATAGTGACAAGCTACACGGTTATAGTTCATCTCCAGTAATTCCAACAGAGAAAAGACATGCTTTCAAATCCAGCAGTTTAAGTCAAATCAATTTATACAGTTCAAGTTCATGTAATCCGGATATAAAATCTTTTAGAGAATTTCACAACAATGACAAATAGCAACTAAGTGCAACAACAAATGAAAAGCAAGTATAGCCTCTCAGGACAACAATCACTCCACTCATCATAAAAACTCAACCACTCGGCTCTCAGCCCTCAGCACTCACACTCAATGGGTACCCGCGCTCACTGGGGTATACAGATTCCGGAGGGGCTCCTACAGCCCAAGCGCCATAATCCGCACGGACAACTCATGTGCTGCACAGACAACTCACGTACTATAATATCCTTTACGGACAACTCACGTGCCATAATATCCTTACCTCACTGACAGGCCCTCGGCCTCTACCAGTCCTCAACCTCTCTAGTCTCTCAAAAATCACAAAGATCAGCCCAAACAAAGATAACATAATGTATCAACAAATATCAAGAAAGACTGAGGTATTATACGCAAGAAAAATTATGACTGAGTACAAGACAACAATTAGCAAATAATTCAACAATCACGCGACCTCTGTGGGTTCCAACAGTACCATCACATAGCCTAAGCATGATTTCTAACATGATTTATAGTCAAATTTCTTCAACACATAGAGAGCATATAACTAACAAC